CTTCGAGCCGACTTCCAAGTCAACCAGATCGAGCAGGGGTGGCAGGTAGATGGAGACATCCAGGGCTTCGAACAGGACAACATCAACATTGAGGTTATCGATGAGCATACGCTGAAGATTGCTGGTAACACCCAGTGGCAGTCGGAGAAGTCGCAAGCTCAGCCACAGCTACCTCAGATCGAAGCCCAGCCCACACCTGCCGCTAGCATTGAGCAGCCTGCCGCGACACAGTCAGAACCAGAAGTCGAGACCACCACCGAGACCGAGTCTCCTACCACTCGTGCCGCTACACCCGACAGCGATACCTCATCGCACAAGTCATACCAACCCACCGTCGAAGACGACTTCGAAGACCTCGCCGCTGACTTCCCGTCATCTCGACCATCATCTCCCACCCAGCCACGCGAACCCAAGGGCAAGGAGAAGGTTGTCGATGAGCCTAAGAACACCGAGACCGCTGTGGTAACCCAGCCACAGCCCGAGGTACCGGTCCAGCAGCCTCAGCAACAACCTCAGGAGCAGTCCCAACAACAAGAACGCGTTCACGGCTCCTTCGAGCGTACCTTCAGGTTTCCTGAACGCATCGATGTCGCTAATGTGAGCGCTAGTTTCAAGGACGGTGCGCTCGAGGTGACTGTTCCTAGGGCGCAGGTGATGCAGGTTAGGAGGATTGCTATCTTATAGATGAGGATAGGGGTATAAGTGAGGAGGAGTAATGGCAGACAAAGGCATAGATGCAAGGAATGAACACATGATAGCATATGCATGGAATGGAACAGGAACGGGTTTGTAAGATATTTGCACACGGTGCTTAGACATCGGTTATGATTCAATGATTGTTTAATTCAAACTTCTTTCACATCTTCTGTCTTTCCGCTGTTGTACACTAATGCTACTCACTTCATCCACCACCGCAACCCCTTCCTGAGTCCTCTTCGCCCTTTCTCCCTTCTACGCAGTCAAACTGTCCTACAGCATCAAAGCAACAATTCCCAAAGCAGCAACTACAACACCACCGGCCTCGCCGGCGCCGATAGCAACCGCCCCACCTGTAGCAGTGGATGTTGCCTGCGTCTCTGTGCCGGTGGTCTTCGCCTCGGTCTTGGTGGACTCGGATGACGCTGATGCTGACATGGATGATGCCATGGAAGATGCAGCGGATGATAGGGCGGATGATGCGGAGGCGACGGGGTTGCTGGGGGTGGAGAGTTAGTACCTTTACAGGTTATGAAGACTACGAGGTAGGATATGGGCGGTGTTGCGTGTCGTGTATGTACGTCGAGGTTACTTACGTTTCCGCTGCGAGCGCGAAGCCGGCGAGGGCGGGGAGGACGATAGTGGAGAAACGCATGATGCTGCTTGGTGCTGGATTTTTCTAAAGTCGTGTTGCTACGGGTCCAGCTGTGACTTCTTGGGATCGGTAAGTGGGCGGGTGAACGAGAAAGAAACCTTCTCATCCACAGCAAAGTCACGCCTTTATGTACCTAGGTACCCTACACCTGTCATCACTACATTGCACGAAACCCCTGAGTTTGCGTGACACATCATCCCCATCACGAACGGTGATACCATACACGACCACTGGCATTTGGAGCGTATACCCCTTGCTGTGCCTAATCATGGCATTGTGGTGGCTGATAGGTACGTATCGAGGTACCAATTCCTGTAGCCGTTTTGGTGGAACTCACTAAGTGGTACAAGAGCTACTGTGATGGAGGAAGTATATGGAGCTTCGCAAGCTTTGTGGTGGGTGATACCAAGGAGCCGGGTGTAAATGGATTTGTCCTACAATGTGCGGATGGTATACGCGTTTTGGGTTTTTGGTGTGCGTGAGCCACAGCAAAGCTATCTCAATCATCCCCGCATAAGAAGTACAACTTCAATGTCTAGCCCGGACTAAGGCCAGGTGGTTAAATTCAAAGGCGATATCTTCTTCGCGAGGAAGGAGTTGTCGTTTTGGTTGCGACGCAATTCGTGCTGTTTCTTCTCTAGGCTATGAGCCCTAGCCTGGTCTTGGGATGTCCTCTCCGCAGAGAAGAATAGAGAACGCCTTTCACTCAAACTGAGGCATGGTCTTGGTTCGGGCCGGTTTTTGCGACATCCTTTTCGCAAGTACCTAGGTGACCTTGGTCATGTACGTTGTTTGATGATGTTTGGGTCTAGGGGTTATGGGAGTTCCTAGCTGAACGCTGACCTTTGATGTTATACCTTTCTTTCTTTGCGATTTAGGAGGCTTTGAAGACATGTGGAGGATCTTAGTGGAAGAGATGTCGCAACGAGGCCTCGTGATCTTGGCCTCGAAATTGTCTGGCGCTGGACGGAACCGAGCTAATGCGGATTTGGATTAGCGTCGGTGATCTCTCGCTCATCGCTACTTTGGCTCGATGTGGTCGGTCTCCGCCCCTCCCCCTCGAAACAGCAAATGCAGCTCTCAGCCACGTCTCTATCGAAGGGCTTACCGGCATGACTACCAACGCGCGTCTGAATATTAGGCAGTCATCTCGCCACCCATGCTGACGTTGGAGCAGCCTCGCGTTAGGCACTAGGCTTTGCATGGCTGAGCGAGGGGGGCGCAGACAGCTATATTACCGGCCTATGCCCATCTGCTCGTCAATCTTACATCCTGTTTCCTTTCCCATACTACTAATTCATTAATTCTCTTCGCGCGACACATGTCGATATCTCGATATGATAGATCCGCTTATCTATCCACATGAGCTCACAGGACCCACCATTCGCCTGCTCACCGTAGAGCCAGACGAGCCATCAGCCCCGCTACGATGCCAACTATCAGAAACATGTCTTGATACGACTCCAACTACTTACCACGCTCTGTCATACTGCTGGGGCGCGAATCAGTCCCCCGCTCAGATAATTTGCAACTCTCGTCCTCTCTCAGTAACACCGAACTTGCATTCGATGCTACTCGAATACCGTCGCAGGAGGGCCACAACACCTCTATGGGTTGACGCAATATGCATCAATCAATCCGACATATCAGAGCGCACGTCTCAGGTCCGCATGATGGGTAGAATTTACACCGAAGCGGAGTGTGTGATTGTGTGGTTGGGCGAAGCAGAAGAGACCGACAAGAATGCGCTGCTGTTGCTGCGCTGGATCCATGAGATGAAAATACCGAACCTGGCAAAGTTTCGAAACGCCAAGGAATGTGATGCATACTTAAGCCAAACATTACAAGAGGAGTATCTCACTGCACTGGCTGCGTTCCTTCTACGACCATGGTTCAGCCGTATATGGATGTATGTACCACGTCAAACCTGGGATCTGCGTACAGTTTGGGATCAGCGTTGACACAAATGCAGTATTCAGGAAGTTGTTCTCGCTTCCCAGGTTTTATTCTGGTGTGGCCCCATCTCCTTGGACAAAGAGTTTCCGTTACTCGACGCCATCAAACAGTCGATGAGCATGACAGTTTTTTGGGTCAAATTGGGCACTGCGCCGTGTGCCTCTAGATACGACGATGGAGGATCTGTACCACGGTCCAAGCATTTATCCGCGGCACGTATATTTGCAATCAAGAATTCAAGAGACAGAGGCACTAATGGTATCCTGGATCTTGTCATGTTGACCCCCCGGTCCGAGGCGACAGATCCGCGAGATAAGGTGTTTGCGCTTGTCGGACTGGCAAGCGACATTGACAACAGCTTTGTTGACTACTCTAAAAGTTACAAAGACTTGATGAGAGAGCTCAGTTCGATGGTCCTCAATGGCAAGATCCGGCCTCCCGCCGGGAATCTATTGGACGTCTGGTCTCTGATCACGAGGGGAGAAGATGAAGCAATCACATATCCAAGCTGGGTCGTGGATTTATCCAAGTTCGATTTATCCAAGTTGAAAAGCGACATTTACCTGCCCATGATAAGTGCAGACAGTTCACGAAGGCCCGGAACCAATCGTGAGCCAGAAATTCAGTTCCCAGATGGAGAAGGAAAGCAGGTAAGCTCCCGTTGAGTAACAAGCTCTTCTCCCCACTGACCCATTCACCAAGTTTCTCTGCATTCGCGGCACTATTCACGATACGATAGCCCAAACAGCGTCTAATCCGATCCTTTGGTACGACATCCTAAACCGACGTGACTACAGCAAAAACTCATGGTTTCTGTCCGTTTGGCACGATTGGCTCCACCGCGCGCAAGAACTCACACAAAGGACTGGCTGCGTTGACTCAAATGGTATCTACCGACCTACTGGCGAGCCTGTAAATGAAGCTGTTTGGCGCACTCTGTGCTGTGATACCATAATATCTCCAGGCTTGAAGCGTCCCGCCGATGGAAGCAGCTACGACGCATTTCTGACTCATATTGACGGTCTAAAAATAGCCGAAGACTACATGCATCTAGGGCTCGGGTGTTTCGCGAGTACTACAGCGCTCACTCTTTTTCTTTTCTACTACTTCAGACGAAGGAACTGGTTCTTGCGATTCGTTTTGCCGCTGGCTGGTTGCTTCTTTGTTCAATCTATCTACATTGGCAGGGCCATAGAAAAGACAAAGGAATTGGCCGAAATTACGAAGAAACTGATCATCGATGAGAGAGATTTCGCGAAGAGTCATTTTACGTGGATGCAAGGGCGGAAATTTGGTATTACGCAATCGGGGCTGATCGGCCTGGTGCCCATTTCGGCCAGGGTAGGGGATCATGTTGGTTTCTTCGCAGGGTGCAGAATTCCGTATGTGTTGAGAAAATTGCAAGAAGGATACGGTATCGTCGGCGATTCGTATCTGCATGGAGTCATGAATGACGAGGGGGATAAGTATGACACCGAAATGCTGACGATAGTCTGAAATGACTTTCGCTTTGAGGGCGCATATTGGGGGTTTCACGATGGCGAATGTAGTGCAAGAACGCTCGAAATGTGATTACATTACATTAAATTACTAGATTATATGGGATACTGGGTTTCAGTGTGTGGTAGGATGTTGAAAAGGGAAGATAAAGCTCGATCGAGCTATTGTAACGGTGGTGGGCCTTTGCAGGAGTTTAGACCTCAGAGCACACATGCCACTCCCACCCAGTCTTCTTGCAGCATTCGACGCGATCAAAGTCCTTGGCCGAGACGCTACCGGCGCCAGTAGTATCGAAAGTAATCTCCTGGCCTTCATGAACATTGGTCGATCCGTACTCAGCGAATACAACATTCTTGCCGGCACCCTCAACAGAGATGGTACGCCTGGGGGTAACCTGGCCCCAAGTGTCATAGATCTTGCTGGACATAATACCAGGCTTAGCCTCGTCGAAAGTGGCGGTGATGTGGAAGCGCTCATGTCCCCACATGTTGGTGCCTGTGAACCACGAGAAGTGGATCTTGCGAGAGCCCATGTCACCGTCGACACGGTAGAAGAGACCTTGGTTCCAACCTCCGTAGATGTAAAGTTCATCGGCGAAGGCATTGAACGTGTATTCTCCTACTGTGATTCGGCCCCTGACACTGATGGTAATCTGCGTCGAGGAGGTCTGGAAGATCTTGACCGCGAAAGGCAAGTTCAAGGTAAACTGGTCGCCGTAATAGGCACGGTCGGCGGGTCCGGGCACCATGGGCACACCTTCCGATGGGTTGCCACCAGCGATTCTAGTGTAAGAAGGGGCTGTTGGTCGGGGTGCGGGGATGGTGCAAGTGCTTTGGACGACGACCACCGTTTGGAAATTCTTGGTCTCGGTCGCCAAGGGGGTCGCGGCAGTTGTGGTGATGGTTTGGGTCGTTGTAGAAATACCGGTAGCGACCTGAGAGCAAGCCGCGGAGATTTTGCTGGTAGGCCAGGCTGCGATAGACGCTGGTGTTGCGAGGCCACGCCTCTCAACTCCCCTGTTGAGCTCTGCTGCCATGGTGTCGTTGAGTTTCGGCATGCTTGCGTCATCCTCATGCGACAGAGTCTTAACGTCCACAATGGCGATCTCGTAAGGGTCAACAACGACGTCGTTGGTCACCTCGGTGCCGTTATCCGCACGTCTAGCGTGTCTTCCGTTGAACTTCGCTGCAGTGACGATCGCAACTCCAGAGGTGGAGGTGCTTGTTACCGTCCTTGTGATTGTGGCAGTCTGTGGAGCTGGTGTGATGGTAGCGATGGCGGTTGCAGTTGTAGTCGGCTGGGAGTAGCCAATGTAGCTGCTGCAGAACTCATCGCCGCTTGACTTGAGGTATGAAATGTCGCTGGGGCATACAGGTACACCATCATCACTCTCATCAGTGAACCCAAAGCTGTACTGGATAGTGTAGTGATCATCGCCGCGGTATTGGCCATCGTTCGTCGCGAAAGAAGCATCCCACTCCTGAGTGTACATGGAGCAATATTGACCCTGCGAGACACCGTTCTTGAGCAGAATGTAGGTGTTGAAGTAGCGGCACAACTGCGGCTTGCCATCGGCGGGTGGGTGTTCAGTTGCCCACTTGTTCTGCTCCTTGCAGGCAGTTGCGCAGAGCTTAGCGTCGAAGGCGGGCTGGACAAAGAGCTTGTAGCCCATGTAGGAGCCTTGCTTGTTGCAGTCGAGAGGCGAGTTAATCGCACTGTTCTTCAGCTCGACTTGCTTGTAGCCTTCGGCAGACTGTGTTGTAAGAGACGAGTAGCCGTTGCTTCCAGCGATGGCGACTTCAAACTGTTCTCGCCACTGTCCGTTGTTGTTGGCAGTGTCGGTGTAGACTGGCCCGCCCCAGAACGAGCACTTGATGTTGGCCACAGCTTCGGGGTCTCGGCATTCAGGTCCTGGGTTTGCCGAAGGGTCGCGCTCAACATAGATGTTGAAACCGAGACACCCATCCTTGGAGTTACACTCAGATGCGCAGTGAGAGGGGTCGTAGGTCTCGACTACCTTGTAGCCAAGGTACCCGTAGGCACTGCTGGCACCTTGCAGGTTGGTGAAGGTGTTGAAGTATCCAGAAGGGGTGGAAGCACCCTTCGCTACAGAGGCAATTTTGGAGTCGGCGCGGAACTTGCTAGCAGACGACAGGTCGAAGCCGTAAGTGTTGGGGTTGCTGGGCTCAGGGTCGCAGGCTCCACGCCTCAAATGCTTCTTGACCTCCGGTACGGCCGAAGGCTCAGACACAGGCTTGACATCGAGAGGATCAGCGACGACCTCGGAGACGACATCCGCAATAGCCTCAGTTACTTCGAAAGGAACTGCTTGTTCCTTCAAGCCGGGAATAATGTTGATGACTGGGTCTATCTCTAGTTAGTATGATACTAGTCTTTCATCGGAAGAGATCATACCAGGCGTAGCATCAACTCCAGCGAAGTCGATGTCTTGAGCTCCGACCACGGCGAAGGCCGCAACGGCAGAGAAAACGTATGAATACCTCATTATTAAAGATAGTGGGTTGCTCGAGCGTAAAGAGTGACTGAGCGGGTGAGTGAATGAGTGAAGAGGCTGCTGTTGCTGCTGGCTATACTTCCTGTGCCTTTATGGATCTTTATATGTTCATGATGAGGCCTTGCAAGAGTCGGTCCTGACTACGATCCAAACAGATTTACGCCAGGCAGGACGGAGTCGCCGCAGCTGAAGCATACAAACATCATGGCTTTCTCGAGGCGTAGCTGAGTACATCGAGCAAGATCGTGCCACATATCGAAATAGGCTGCTTGAGTACCACAAGAAGGTAAGTCCTGACGAGCCACTTGACTCGTTCAGTCCCAACCTCGCGTAGTTTTTGTGGTTCTCAAGCCACACATCGAGAAACATACCACTTCTGCTGCCGACGTTGAGAGGCGCCCTTGAATTTTCGATCTAGCCCTGCATCTCGCAGAGTCTCGCAGTCCAGAACATGCACGTGGGATGCCGTGCGCGCTGCCGGCTCGTGGGGGATGTGAGGATAGAAGCTCGCGTACGAGCGAGACCCGCAATGCCCCTGGCGCGGGACCTCGGGAGGCACTAGCGTCGTCTTGGCATATCGTCTTGGCACATGGCACCTGGGCAGCAATGCTCGTCGAAGACGAACATCAAAACAATACTCGCAAAGAACAAAGACTTCTCCGTCGACAGCGACAGACAACCGGTCGTCCCTTGCAATTGACGCATTTCGGTCGACAACGTCCAACAACTACATTTGCGGCACTAGTATGGGCGACATGCATTCATTTAGGGTGCAACTCCGTGAAGGTGCAGCTAATTGACACTCAATCATGAAGTCTACTTTAGCTTCAACAGAAGCAATGGTACTACTTCGTATCCGACGACTTTAGCTCTTGGCGTGATCTCCACGTACCCAAATCGATATCCGGCGGCGGCTCGCTAACGTTCGTGGAAATTTGCCCCTGCCTCAAGGTTCCGTAGCTTGCGCAGGGTTCGGAAGTTCCTCCATCTCCTTATCTTCTCACCCAACAACCCGTCAACAAACCTGGGGAGTCGCTCTACTGCCCTGCTCTTTGCTCTGGAGACCATCGTGACCTTGCGAATACCTCGCCCATGCGAACTTTCAGAAGGTTCCGGTGTCCCGCTGCGCTCGTCTAAAGCAACATGCCCACCCACGAGCGATCAAGACCAGTCAGTCCGGAGTGAACAGCCGTGTGAAAGCGACGCCCCTCATCATATACTGTTCGCGCTTCTTCCAGGCCACCGTCTGATACCTGGGCGTTGTTCAATCGTGCGTCGCGATTCGCATCAGGACTGGCACTCCCATAGTATCCTCCCGAGGTCGACCGGCGACAAGATGGAAAGCCTGGTCGCCCTAAGTAGCCTACGAAGACCTCGCATCGCATCGCATCGACCATATATGGCCTTTTCGAAAGTGTCATTCCTATGTCCTGTTTCGGCGATCTTCGAGTGAAACGGCGCGCTAGAGCTAAAACTTCGGCCCGAGCACATCATAGCTGTTACAGAGACTCTGAAACTACTCATCAAAGGCAGGGCGATACTAAGAAAGCCATCAGCGCTTCGCATGTTCTGCATCAGGCCATTGAATGCGCATTGTGGCGGAGCTGTCAACGTCTCGCCACAAGCTTACACTTTGTCTGAATCGTCACGGATAACGGCACCACTAGCAAGCATGCGCAGTGTGCTCAAGGCCACGCAGTCTTTTCTTCAAACACGACACTGATCGTAGGGAGCCTCCTACTATCGGAATATTTGCATCGGCAACTGGCCAACTCAAAATCTACAGACTTCCTGCACACGCTCAGACGACCTCTGGTAGCGCAAACGCACGATATGAAAGAGCTTTCTCACTATTGAATGCCGGCGGTTTATCAAAATTACCTGGGGTAAATCCCAATAAACGTCAGCTTGTCTATACACTAGTTGATAGTCGCTGTACTGTAAAGGAGGTACTGTTCACCCAGGGAATGTCATTTTACGTTTGGCTGTGGGCGGGTGATCAGCCTAAGCGTACAACGCCAGTCCTGTGCACCGGAACCAAACTTTCGTAAGACCAGGATTGGCCTGAGGCACGTCGCACACCAACGCAACTGGATTACACATGTGGAAATAGCTCGGTAGTACAAAGTTTTGCGATTCCAACAACTGACCTTGCGCAGGCGATCGACGCGATAGCAGCGCATCAAGAGCTCTACACCTTCCTGGAGGGAGGCAGTGTTGCAATCTCTCCCAGGAATCCGGCATCACTTGCCACGCGTCGCCTTCAAGCGCGTTCACAGGAGCAACCTGTATACGACCTCCGCGGACTGAAGCTTCGTGTTTCGCGACGAATCCTCCGTCATACCTGCGCACTGCAGCATCCCACTCCACGCTTGTGCACCCAACACTGGAATTTTGACAAGCATCTTTGCGCAACTATCGCTTTGACATTGATTAACATCTTCTCCTGAAGCCGCCACTAGGGGGCGAAGCACGCGTCTGGATAGTACTATGGAGCGACCAACGTTTCGAACGACCTGTCAAAACATTGGCCGTGCCTGACTACTGGCTCCACGCTTGGCAACGCTCGAACTTCAATGCACACCATCTTCGCAGGAATCGCATTCATTCTTCTCAAACCGACAGTGAGGCTATTGACGCGTGGTGAGATCGCAATCCTGTGTCATGGATGGCTCCCAATAGACGACGCATTGCCTACTGCTGCACCACTTCGAGTCCAGTAGCGCTCGGAAAAGATGATTCATCTTGACGACCAAGACAACCCTCATCACTTTTGAGTTGCTGCGGCGCGTAGTCAGATGACCCTCGTGATATTTCTCGGTTCTAGCTCCATCGTGCTTTGACTCTTCAATCTCGCTACAACCGGCACACCAGTCGGAACGCACATCCCACTAATGCATCAGCGCTTCCTGGCCTGGCGCGGTGCATGGATCCCAACTCCAACAACAGGCTCGTGCGGATCCAAGCAGACAACGTTCAGCCCAGGAGGACGGAACCATGATCTCTCTCAGGTGGGCACGGGAGCACGGGTCGCACAGGCGAATATGAAAATCGGGAGTGCCCACCTTACTCCTCCCATTTCAGTGATCAGATATAATGGCTTTCGAAAAGCACGTCGTTTCTTACAAACAGAGATCATCTCTTGCCATTGTGCTTTCACCTCCCATTCCTTTGAGGCCCTTCTCTTCTATCACTGCTGTTAGTCACCGTTACGCCATGTTCGATCACGACAAAGAGAAGGACTCCGGTCTACCTTTCCATGAGCCTTCCACAGCACCTCCGTCGGAGGACCGAAGAAAGCATCACTTCCTACGGACTGAGGCCACAGCCTTCTTGGGAGAGCTCATTGGCACCTTCATGTTCCTTTCTTTGGCCTTCACTGGTACTCAGATCGCACTCAACGCTGCCGGCACCAACGACTTGACCGCAAGCTCAAACCCCATACCGGATGTGGGAAAGCTCTTGTACATCGCCTTCGCCTTCGGTATCTCTCTCGCCATCAACGTCGCCATCTTCGCCGACATCAGTGGCGGTAAATTCAACCCAGCAGTAAGTTTAACCACGCAGCCTGTGTTCGTATGACCCCGGCACTTGGGTAACACCATATGCAATATCGGGAACACATACAGCCATCATACACATGCAGTGTAACAGAAGCTAACCTACTTCTCCACAGGTTACCGCCGCCTTATGGCTCACACGAAAGATCCACTGGCACCGCGCACTCCAAACCATCATAGCGCAAATGATCGCCGCGATAGCCGCAGCAGGCTTCGTCTCCGGTCTTTTGCCTGGCGAACTCACCATCGACACCAAGCTTGACGCATCGATCTCCGTAACACGAGGTCTATTCCTAGAAGCTTTCGTCACCGCGCAATTGGTCCTCAGTATCCTCATGCTGGAAGCAGGGTCAGCGAAACCAATGTACATCGGAATGTCGCTATTCATCGCCGAGATATGCAGTGTCTACTTCACCGGCGGCAGCTTGAACCCAGCACGCAGTTTTGGTCCCGCAGTCGTCGTTGGTTTTACTAGCTACCACTGGATATACTGGCTAGGACCAATGTTGGGCGCAGCGGTAGCGAGTGGAGCTTATGCACTTATCAACTTTGTACGGCGGGAGCAGATATAACATATCGCAGCAGGACGACGTAATGAACATTTTATCTTTCTCTTTGTTGGCTGGTACAGCAGTTTTGGGGTCGATGCAAGTCATCGGGTTTTGAGTCCCACGGGTGGGACGGACTATGTGGGCACAGCTTGCTCTCTCCTTTGTCACTTGACTTCTTGGACTATTCTTTAGCCAACGTGACCGCTTTGGTATCTCTTTATTAATTAACATGACATTCTGTTACCTTCTAAAATCGTCGCGATGCAATTCTACACATGGTGAAGTGGAGAATTCCTTGAGGAGATCTTGATGGAATGGCTACATACGGTGAAGTAGAAAATACTTTGAAGATATCTTGATGGAATGGTAGCAAAGTCCGACACTGCTCGCTCACTCTTGAGCTCATTCCATGGGTACCCATCACTTGGGGAAAGTATATGTACTATGTTCTCAGTTTCAAGTAGCTCTTTCTACGCACAAGATATACAACCACCTACTCCAGTTGCTTTGAAATACTACTACTACTACTGCGTCTATTCCAGCCCGTTCTAACCTCATTTGTCTTGAACTACAATCGCTCAAAGTTACAGACGCGGACACCATATCATGGACATTACAACGATGAACCAACAGCGCTCACCATTTTTACGTCTACCTGGGGAGCTACGGAACGCCGTGTACGCATATATCTTTGGCACCAACGACATAGTAGTCGTTCGGCGACATGTACTAAGCATCCATCCACATCAACCCACCATCGGTCAGTGTATCCATGTCCTTGGGATCTGTCGCCAAATCCGGGCCGAAGTCTCACCATTTCTCTATTCCAAATCCAAGATATCAGTAGACGAGGTTGCGGATGTGAAAAGTCTCGCTACTCTCTCTGGTCATGAAGCCATAGTGCATATCATCATCCCTTGGAGAACGGCCTGGACGTTGGTGTTGATGAACAACAGGTCTTCCGGACTTGCGGATTTGGGGTCACAGCGCAATGCTATGTTTCATTCGTTCAAAGGGCTGAGGAAGGTGTCGATTACGCCCCAGTACCACGAGGTAGATTCGAGGGACGTGTTCCTGGCTATACGAGAGCCATTCAATGATCATGAGCTAGAAGTTGTTTGGTGGCAGGAATCGATACACTGAGATGGATACGAGGGTGATTGAAGTGTAAGATTGAAGCTTTTGAGTGATGCGAGGAGGTATACGACATATTGTATTAGATTCCAATAACCGAATGCTGTGCTCGCTCTTTCACTCACCTTCATCTAATCGTTGGTCTTAGCTCATTCGCTAGCGTGTTGAAGACCTTTCGATTGCCTCTTAGCATCAGCTCGCATACTAACTTGCTTACGATACTCCCATCCAATACAGTCATATATTGACAACGATGGAGCGCGAAGCCATGTAAGCGATACACCGCAACTATTGGAAGCAAAATCCCTGACGGAACTGCTAGCACTGCTGCCAACCAGCTCAGATCTCCTCTCCTCCGGCTACCGGGCGAGATCCGAAATCGCATATACGGTTTCGTCTTCTATGGCAAAAACACTACCCGGACTGCCCTGCTCACGACATGCAAGCAAGTTGGGCACGAGGCGGCGCCAGTCTACTACTCTCACATCGACCTTTCATTCTTCGACTTCACGGACTTGAAGAACCTGGGTCTGATGAGGCAGATGAATCAGATGATTGCTAGAGCAAAGCCAGAATTACTCGCGAGAGTAAAATCAGTCTGTACACGCCGCGGACCAACAGAACATATGGCGCGTTGCGCTCTCCGGGCTGTGCCTAGGGATGGTTACACCGAGTACTTCATATTTGCAAGTTACCTCCCAGGACTGAAGTACTGGGACGTTTGTGGAAACATGAATCCGGTCTGGCAGGAAGAAGTGATGAAAGGGATCAAGAAGTTGATGGGTCGTGATTTGGACGTCACCTTCGATCTGACGAAGTAGTCTCAAGGGGGTAATTGTGGTACATGTCGCCTTCTTGTTCTCGAATACGCGGTTAGGGATGTCACTTTTTTGACATATACGGCTTGGCGTGGTATCATAGCCCAGAATAGCGGAGTGAATGCGGAGGGCAAGCGAGAGAGCCACGTGCACTAGCGCGACCTTGTACCATAACAACCACCCAATAACACTTGACGATCTCTTTCTCTCTCCCACTCCAGTCACAACAAACAAACTCTCCGACTGATTTCATTACTGCACAAGTTCAGTTCGTGAAGCGACAATGGATTTCGACAGCATGTAAGAGACAGTGACAGTGAAGTGTCGACTCCAAACTGACAAATTACAACAGCACCGCTGCGAACCAGCGCAACTCACCTCTCCTGCGCCTTCCAGCCGAGCTTCGGAACAAGATATACCTCTATGTATTCGATGATAATGACATACATCTCGTTCATTACCGCCGCGACCTTCGAGTCCCTCCCGGCTCGCCTTACCCGATGAGCTTAGCGCAGAGCTGCACTCAGTGCCGCTATGAAGCCCTTCCTTTTTTCTGGCAAAGCACCATATTTCACCTGAGGTACCCCAATATGAGTAGCCTCGTGCTCAATACGAGCCAGAGCTTGCGCGACAAAATTAAGGTCGTTCGTCTTGATTATAGCGTTGCTTTTAATTTTCATATGGACACGCGTGGTCATGAGGGTGCATTCGCTGGGGTAAAGAAATTCGTGTGGGGATACGACAGGCTCTCAGAAAGATATGCAGATAAGGAATGGATAAAGAAGATGAAGGCGACGTTTGGAGAGGACGCTGAACTTATTGATTCAAGCGGCAAAGGTTATGTAGCGGAAGACTTAGCATGGAAACGCAAGGAAGACCTCCGTTAGGTTCATTGTAGATATTATAGAGGTGCGTCCGGAGTAAAAGGACTTCTCATCAAGCAGACTCAACATCAACAGTATACGTCCTATCATGATAAATCCTCTTATCGTTCATCGGCGCCGTGCTCTTATCCGAAGCGCCATCATGTATCCTCTCCCACGCATCCTGATCGCGCCCATGATGCACAGCCGACAAGCTGAAGCCATGATCCGAGGGCCCGTGGTAGCTGTCTCCTCCTCTTTGTCTGCGCGAACGGCCGCCTGCAGTGATAGTCGTTGCTACACGGTGCTTGCTGTTCGGATCGGTGCTGTTGTCGCGTTCGTTTTGGAAGTAGTGGCGCAGGGCTGGGAGGGAGGATGCGAAGCATCCGATGCCTGTTTCGACGTTCGAACAAAGGACGATGTGGGCGACCCAGAAGGGGAGGTTGGTCTGGGACTCGAATTTGTTGACGAAGGGGATGCGTATCATTGTGATGATTGATGCGCTGGTGTTGTTAGTGGTTGTTCGTACTGCTTTGGTGACTGAGAACTTACAGTGAGGCGAAGGAAAGCAGCCCAAATGCTTGGAGCTTCGATTGTCTCTTCATCTGCGTGTTCCACAGGATGATAGCCGGCACAACTACCAAGGCCATGTCGGTCAAGATTGTCGATACTGTCGCAGTGTGCGCGATGATTAGGAATGTCTCCGCAGAAGCGCACTCTCCGTCGCCACTCATGATCAACGTCGGAGTCCCTATCAATATCGATCAGCAATGTCCGACCTGTACATTGCAAATATGGTAGACTCACACAAAGCGCGCACCGGCTGGCAATAAGCCAACGTTCCAACAAAGGTAACGAGGAAAGATGCCCATGTAACAGCGAGTAGAACCCAGACTGTGATTCTCATAGGCTTCTTGATGGATGCAATTCGCCTGATCGTGATGCACACCGAAGATTTGACAGTCGCAAGTGCGACAACGTACACCAAGATCCAGATGAGGTAGTACTTGATGGCTTCCGACTGCTGCCATGCATTCAGATCTTCGTTCATTCTTCCTAGGCCAGCGAGACAGCCGTAGATTGCCAGACCCGTAACGGGGATGTATGCGATCTTTGAGGTTACGTTAGTATAGCACTGATCAAATACTGGTAGTAATAACGTACTGTGCCTACAACCATGAAAGCATCTTCCAAGCCGAATATCCTTTTCTTGATTCGAATGTAAGTTCGTAACGCTACAGTGACAATAGAAAGAGCGAAGAAGATGGATGAGATGACGATGATAGCAAGTGGCAGACCATCCGGTGCAATCAGCCTCGCGGATGGATCGACATCGTTCATGGGCGCCGCCATTGTGGGTTCAAGACGAGGATGGATAGCAAGGACCCCAAAAGAGTATGTGCCTGCATCTCGAGGAACCTGCTATTACTTTATACGACTCCGCCGACATTGACCGCACAAGCAGACTCCCCGTCGAAGTGGATCATAACAAATAATCACCAAGGCCTTCGACTCACGCTGATGCACCCGTTCCTCTTTCGCCCCGTTACCATCCTCACATTTCCCTGCCCGGAAACGGTTGTGACAGCCGCGAACTTGACTCGCTGCAGGGTCTGGTGCATCATCTTCGCACCGTGCCCACGTGTAGCGGGAGGAAACATGCTGCCGCTCCGACCAAGACGACGAAAATCCTGCTAGAAAGGAGAGCTATGCGTGCTATGTAAGTAATCTGACACGTTTTTGTATCCATACAGCGACGCCATGGCGATGGTACCGAAAAACTAGCGGAGCGATCTCCCGCGCCGGCGATCAGGATGCCGGGTCTAGATGGTGGCTAAGAACGCTAGTCGTGTCTCGAGACGGGAACCTGACTTTCCAGGTCGAATCGAGAGGTCGAAGAGCAGGTGAACCGAGGGGAAGGTCCGGACTTTTTGCGCTGGGTCAGATCGTGGGTTCGGGGCGAGGAGTTGCTGCGATGGAGGTCCACTTCCTGGACGGAAGAACCCGAACAGATGCGCTACAGTCTTCGTTAGTAGGAAGGCCAAGTTTTCCAAGATTACGAGGCAATGTGTAATTATCTAAATGAGAGAGTGCAAGCCAGTTCATCTCAAAGCGATGTTCAATTTTCCTTCTTTAGAGATAGAGAGTCTTCAGATTATGACCGGTTATGATTGTGTGCTGTAATCTACTGCTGGCGCATGTACGCCACTCCATCTTCTTCCCATTTCTACATGTAGTGATGTATCCGAGTTTCGCTAGTCTCGGACGGATTCCAATCGCTTGTTTCCAGGATATGAAAGCTAAAACGCACCCATGACAAGCCAAATCAAAACGCTTGTATAACTATCCTCGCCGGGTACAATACCGCAGTGCTCAATGCTACGATGCCTCGAGTGTTGACAATTCCTCCTCAGTCCACGTCTCATCATCTCTGAACTCAACTTCCAGACCTTTCGCGGATATATCTCGCCGCAAATTCTCCATATACCCGACCATCATATCTCCCCACGCGTAGCTATGCACGTAAACCTTCCGCAGCTTGGGAAAATCGTCCAGGAACTTCGTTTCATATAGCTCAACCGCGATTTCCTCGCATACAACCAGTGACGTTATGCGAGCGTAGTCTGATAGCTCACCGAAATGCATAAGATCCTGAATGCTGCAATCGAAGGTTGTTGCGTCGACGATGCATTCATTCCAAAAGATGGATGAAGCTTCATGAAGGATCTGTCGGCAGGTCGCCAGGACGTAAATGGCTGGGTTGGTTCTTTCGCCCTCCGTGTAAGGCCGCCAAGGGTCTCTGATTTTTATCTCTTGACCACAGAAGACATACTCGTAGATGCGATTGCGAATCTCTCCGGGAAGACGCAAGAGAGGCGAGTTAAGCTGGTTCTCACGCGTGCTAACATAGTTAGCAAGAAGATATACACATGTACCGCTCACTTACATCTCATCGAGGTCTAGGGATGCGCATTCGCTTGCGGTAGTCTCTACGTCCGTGGCCTTCTTTTGCCTGCACAAGGGTACCGTCCGAAGACACCGAACCAACCGGTTAGAAGACATTTGATTTGCCTGAAGGTGCTGGGTGTCGTGAAAGTGCGATGAGTCGTTTGTTTGGAATAAAGTGAGTTGACTGCGTGGAGTAAGACCGGAAGTGAGGGTTATAAACAAAGTACGCAGGGAACACTCGTTTGGTACTAGCTCGACACTAATCGCCATTTACGTACCCGTGGACCTAGGGAGGCGCCTCTCACCATTGTGGAAGGAGAAGAGGTAGCAATAGAGCCTTTGACGTACTGTTAGTGAAAGCGTTCCAGCGTGTGACATGGGTAATTCGGTGTTTAGGAAGAGGCAACAAAGCGCATCTGCGATAGCGCTGAACAGTGTAAAAACAAGATGACTTTCACCAGAAAGATGTTTTCACGATGTCTAGGAGATGTAACTCGACATCCAAGACGTTTTCATCTATCACTCCTGCAAGACATTACAAGAAAGATTAACGGACGGCAAAGGAGGATGTGGACGCAGCGTACCCGAGTTGTTGCCTGTTCACCGAACAGTCAACCTTGGTACAGTATCTCGCTAACTTACAGCACCCAACACGAATACATTGCAACAGCTACTAAAAAATTGTTAGCAGAAATTGTAGGCCACTACCAGTCTCATCTCTTCACCGCTGCGACGACACCCACCGCTTCAACCTACCGTGTCATCACGCCAGCAACGACACAACGACCCTTCTACGCCTCACGCTCTCCCGCGAACACCACAGATTCGCTCTCGCCATGCTGTCGCAAATGCGCACCCACATCCAATCATGGTGGCAGCAGATACCCTTGCCAACAACCACAGCGACACCCAGTTTCCAGACATGGCATGATTTTGATCGAGGGCATTGGATGCCCTCAGTCAGCGGCAAATTTTCTCAGCCTGGCATCAAGCACCAATGGGCGGGCTCATTCCGCCTCGTGAGCTGGAACGTGAACGCAGATGCACCGTTACCAAAGTCTCGTATGTTCGCACTACTGCAGGTCATCAAAACCACAGGAGTTGCAGATGTTGTTTTCCTGCAAGAAGTTTCAACAGAAGGTCTTGCAGCCCTGCTTGAAGATTCCTGGATACAGCAAAACTGGTACATAAGCGATGTCGATACCTCGGCTTTCGGAACTCAAAAGTTCATCAGCATCACCCTGGTGTCCAGGTTGTGGGTGACGACTGATGGTATCCAGCTAGGCGCCATCTGGAGAGTCGCATTACCGAGTCGTTTTGGACGAGACGCGTTGTGCTGCGATCTGATCCTCAACTCTTCGAGCAAGCAGACGTCGGTGAAAGAGTCTACTCGACTTCGACTCATAAACGTCCACCTGGATTCATTGCCAATCAATCCGTCGATGAGGCCGCATCAAGTCTCCATCTGCGCTTCATACCTCGGGGCAGCTGGTCGTGGGATCATCGCCGGCGACTTCAATTGCATTCTTCCGGAAGATGACGACCTTGTCAGTAACAACGGTCTTGCGGATGCGTGGGCGGAGCTTCATCCAAATGATTCAGGCCATACTTGGGGCGTGTACGGTGAACAGTCTTTCCCACCCAATCGGTTGGACAAAGTTGCTCTGTTTAACCTCAACCCTTCAGCCATGCGCGTCCTGCAAACGAGCGAAATGAAATCCTACGGCGCAGAGATGTCGGCCGACGTAGCAGAACAGGGGTCAAATGCGCATTTCAGCGATCATTTGGGTCTTTGGTGTGACATTAGCTGGGCAGAAGACCGACCGCGGCAGGAACGGTGAGGCGACGTGCGACGAGATGCTAAGAAGGTCGGAGCTGGCAGTGTCAAATTCCCGGGACATCATGGCAGCACTGTACATAGGAGAGTAGGACGACGTCTGATGCCCGTCGGCCGACGGTGGCCCTCCAACACCGCCGACGCCCGTGAAATTTCGGGGTCGGCCGCCCGACATGCGACACCACCGTCAGACCAAGACCTCAACATTGCCCAGACAGGCAATACATGTCGAAAACCATCGAAACCCTTCGGCATTGCGGTGCGACAGGCCCGACAGCCATCGGGGCGCCGGATTTGATGACGATGCGATGCCCCGTCTTGTCTGCGACTAGAAAGACGGGGCGATTTCCTGGATGTTGCTTGGCGAGACCGGCGGGTTTTGAGAAGGGAGGACCGACGCCGAGATCGAGGGCGCGTTGGGGCTGGTTCGGCACGTGACGCGTGAGCGTGAGCGTGACACGGTCAGTGTCGGCATCGCAGCGCAGCCCTGGATATCTTCAAGGCTGACTTCATTTCGCGATGCTGAAGAACCTTGGAAGCTGGAAGACTGCGCGATGCCGACACCCCAGAGATAGTCGGTTATCGCACGCTAGCCGATAAGACCGCCGACTTCACCGAAACAGGAGGCCTTTGCTCGATTCCACGACGAGCAACGATCTGAATACGATTTTGCGAATATCAAACATGCGGGAGGAGATGAAGATCGTGTGAAAGTTGTTATCAATCAATTTGGCTCGTATGATCTCCAATTACCTCTACTTCCGTCTCGGTCATGCACTTCGTCACGTGAACATTCGAGACTTCGCAGTAATGACCTTCCCGCTGAGCAGCCTTTCAAAATACAACTTGACTTGTCATATAACTCATCTGAGACAGCTTTACTATCGTTATCTCGAAGCCGAAGGCCGTTACAGCTGCTCGTTCCGGACTGCCTTGTCCAATGAGAAGTGAAGCTGACCGATCCGGCTAGACTGACGTCCCTGCATGCAGGTCAGGTCCCGCAGACGCAGGGTCCAACCGGTCGTCGGCGAGAAGGAAAGTCTGGGGTCTCTCGACACACTTTTGCACTCGCTATCGTCAGAACGCTACACTGGAGCTGTCAAACAACGAGATCTACTACCCGCAAGATGACAGACTCCAGCTTCAAACCCTCATGTAGCTGCTGGAAAGTGTCCTGGAGCTGAGCACCACAGCGATCTGACATGCTTGAACCTCCACCGCCTTCTCCACGCGACCTCAGAATAGCCGAACCTCGAGCATGGGCCATGGATCTATCCCCCGGCTCGGCTTCCCATCTTGGATGACACGAACGTGTGGTTGGTCGGATTGGTTGGAAAGCACCGCCTCGCCTCGTCTTATCAGCTAATCCGGGGGACATGCCATGAAGCATATCGGCGTATCTGCAATGAGCCGTCGGCCCAAGCTCCTGGTAAGAGTCAGAAGAGATGAGCATAAAGACGCGGTGATATCCTTCGAGAGCTCCTTTCACCTATCTATACTGAATGAAAGCTGTTTTGGACACCATCAGCGTGGACTTGAAGTAAAACAATACGAAAAAGGCACGAGC